CACCCTCTCACGGTGGTTAGGCTCTTGGCTGGTCCTCTCAGCTGGTGGGATGGAGTCATATACCAGCTCCTGTTCAGATTATATTAGTCCTCCACACAAGTAGGGGAAGGGCTCAGGTGGAATAAGCGAGCTATTTATGTCAGCGAGGTGAAGCCAAAAGAGGGCGCAAGTCCGAGAAGGGCGTGTTCCAAGGGGGGAGAGATGGAAAGAGGGGGGGATTACACTTTAACCCCCCAGTCCCCGAGGGCACCCCAGCGGAGACCCCCCCTCAATAACACACCCAGTCCTCATCTATCCTGGCTCGAAAAGATGGTCCTCGGCCACATTAGCGCCCCTCTTCAAGGCCATAGGGCGCTCCTCTCCCCGCCAAGAGCCAGCTGGAAGTCTTCGCGGTTGCTGCCCTCATCGCCATCCCCCACTGCCATACTGAAATCCCGGCAGCGTCCCTGAGATTTTTCCAGGGAACTGGCAGCCCCAACAGCCCCAACAGCACCTCAACAAAGCCAGAGCCTGGGGCAATGTCCATGTGGTAGGCGCCCCCAGCGCAATGCCACCGCCACCACTCCCACTCCCGGCGAGCTCCAGCTGGAGGGGAAAAATGCCGCCCCGCCGCCTCTCAGCTTCCAAGCCTCACCGATGCTGTGCTCTCTGCTCCCACCACGATGTTCAAGAGAGAGCAGAAAGCCATCCCCGGAATGGGAGGAAGTTCCCCCAACTGGACCCGGGTTGCCAGGTCTTCAGGGCGACCCTCAGAGGGTCCCAAAAGGTAGGTCAGTGCCCATCCTCACGCTGCGATCTCAGCTAGCGCCGCCATCTTGCGCATGCGTAATCCATGAAAAACAATTATGTACTAATAATGATATAATTTTATTTCAATTTGTTGTTACTACTACTGATATTAATTTCATGATTATATTATACTTTATTATAATCATTTTATCATAATTTATCATAGTATTATATTTTATATTATAAAATGCCCTTCCCTTCCATAAATTGGCTGATTTTTAATAAAATACATAGAAAATTTAAAAATAACATAAAATAAACTACATAAACTAATCTATAAAAGCAGCAGAAACATAAATTATACAGAGACAAAAGACCCTCAGACTTGTCAGTAAAAGTATAAGATAGTAGTAGTAGTAGTGATAGTAGTAGTAGCAGCAGCAGCAGCAGCAAAGATAATTGATTCGGAATCCTGGGCTCTTTGTTTTTCCCCTTTTATTCAATTCACCATGCTGCCTCTGTGTGCACTTTTTGAGTAGCTCCTACTTATGTAGCAGACTTTATGACCCATCCCACCTCTTTTTTTACTACTTCATTGATCACTCAGTTTCACATCTATGTGTACATTACAGTATGTGCTTTTTAGACACGTTGGAACCTGAATGCTATTTATGGCTATACCACAAGTAGCGAATAGCAAAAGAAGCATCATTTCTTCCATTTCTGCATTCTTAAAGGCTTTCTCGTTGGGCATGGAGATAAAGTGAACATAAAGTGAGCTAATGATGAGTGCAACTGATGAGTCCCATTAATACCTTGATTGGTTGATTGATTGACTTATATGTCGTCAAGTTGGTATTGACTCTTAGCAACCACAAGGATGGATTTTCTCCAGGACCTGGCCTGGTCCTTCAAGTCTTCCAGTGGTGAACCCATCACCATTGTAATCAAGTCCATTTATCTTGTTTTTGATTGTCCTCTTCTTTTTCCTTTGATCTTTTCCAGGATTGTAGACTTTTCCAGAGAGTTTGATCTTTACATAACTTCTCTGAAGTATAAAAGTTTGAGCCCGATCATTTATGTTTTGAGTAAGGACTCTGGGTTAATTTGTCTGATGGCCCATTTGTTTTTGTTTGTTTTTGTTTTTTTGTGGCTATCTATGATTGATCGATTGTTTATATGCCATCAAGTCACTGTCCATTGTTAGTAACTACATAGATAAATATTCTCCACGACAATCTATCTCAAATTTTCAAGTTTTTCAATGGTGCAGTCATCAATGCTATAAACTGTTTTCTTCCTTTACTCTTTCCTTCTAGCTTTCCAGCATAACAGCTGGTCATTTTTGCCTCAAGTGAGAACTACGATGTGTTTCACCAACCACTTGTTTATTCTTAGGAATTAGATATCCTCAAGATTTTTCTCCAGCTTCAAACCCCAATATTTTAGAGGTTCAGGAGGTTAAGTATGAATGCAACTATTTTGGAAGTTCTAAAGTGTTAAACATAATTGCTGTTTTCAATAAGTGTCTCAATACCATGAGAGTAAAGATATCTATTAGCAAAGCCAGAATATTTATTCTGATGATGCTAAAATGAATTGGCAGAGCTATCAAATTCTAGGAGGCTCCTTGTAACCTACCTAATTTAGAACTGCTTTCAAAGTTCATTTTTCTACAAAAATTCAGGGTAAGTATGGCAAGATTGGAAAAGGGCCAAATTTACAGTGAGATCATTCCATGTAGGTCATATATTGTTATAGACCGGTGATGGCGAACCTTTTCGGCACTGAGTGCCCAAACCAGAACACATGTATGTGCATGTGCATGCACATGCCGGAAACCAGAAGAGCAACTGGCAACAGTGTGAGTGCCCACAGAGAGGGTTCTGTGTGCCACCTCTGGCACGCATGCCATAGGTTCACCATCACGGTTATAGACTGTAATGGATGTTTATATGGTAGAATTCTGCTTCATAAGAAAGTATCCCTTTCACAAAGAAATCTGTCCATTAAGATCTAGGATTTTAGCCCAGTTACACTGCTAGCATGCTAGTTTATTTTGTAATGTGGACTCCTCTCATCAGTCTGAAATCATAAAATCAATCAAAGTCTACTCAGACCTACTGTTCGTTTTGTTTGTATTAGATTAGAATATTCTGAGAGCTCACTCTTGGCTTGACTAAATGGAGGAATCCTAAGAGATGCAATGTCAGAATTAACAAGATCCCAGTGGCCTAAGCCATTACATGAGAAACATCCATGGAAATATCCATGGGCATTTAGATATGTGTTGTTCTTCCAGTATGGAACTTATGTGATGGGCAGAATAGGAAGGGAATATTTTTTATAATGTAGAAAATGCAGCTGTTATGCCACTATTGTGAGCCGTCTATCTTTCTCTTCTTCTTTCCTTGTTATGTAGTATTTTCAGAGGTAATAAAGCAAAGAGGTAATAGCACTATATTAGACAATTGAACCTCTGATTGAAAGGAACAATTAAAAATACATGTGTGGATTACCCCCATGTTCACAGTACTCTTTCAGCAACTGAATTTTACTTCTCTTGGTGGAATCTGGTGGGTTACTGCAGTCTTTGAACTGTCTGAACCCTGAATACTTACTCTATAGGAAAAAGGTTTGTAAATGACCTGGAATTTTCTACATAGAAGTCTCTGTGTTCTTTTGCTTCTTGTGATATGATAAATAAATACACTATTATGTGAAATTTATGACATTTCTAATGTGTCTGGCTTGACTTTATCGCAAACTACCGGTTTATAGGCTTGATCTGCTCTCCTGCCTTTCATATATTCCATCAGAGAAGTAGAATAATTCAACCAAGTTTGATGTTCTAATATGGGAAGTGTCATTGTCGAGAGCAACTATAGAATAGCTATTGTTATATAGGATATATAAATATGATTTATAAATAAATAAAGTATAAATAATAAATAAACTGTGGGTTAACTCAGCATAGATCAAATACAAGACAGAAATCCCCAAAAGGAAAGGAATCAATTAGGGAGAAAATATCCAAGTTTATTTATTATTAAATGTATTTACTTTCATATCTTTCCCATCCAGGTGACACATAAGGGTTGAAAGTTACATTTAGAAATGTCTTGGATAGTTTAATAAGAGATCCATTATTGTGGATGTAATTTGTGGAAAGAAGATTCAAAGAAACATATTCTCAGGCTGAGCAGGAATGAATGAGGTAAGATCATTTTCTATTTGATCTGTACCAGGGCACAGAGCCATCATGCCTTTCCTTTTTAAGCCCCCACCCTCTTCTTAAAAGTTTCCCATGGCTTCGTTTCTAAATGTAAATGTTAAACCAGAAGTAAATTCCTCCACGAAGCAACAATGTTGAAGGACTCAAGTAACAAAAGACTTCAGTGATAACACTGACATGCGTAAGGAAGGCAGGTACACAAATGAAACTGTCAGATCACATGAAGTTATTTAGTAATGTAACTAGGTGTCGGTAACAAGAACAAATATTTTTAAAGTATACTCCTGTCATGTGGGTTCGAATGTTTACAGAAACAAAGTCAGCTTTGAATTGCTTTCTTTAGGGCTTTTCTGATCCACTTGTCTTTCATCATATACCTCAAAGCAGAACATATGAAAATCACTTTGATGTCACCTTCAGTTTTTAATGTTTATTCTAGAGTGAAAAAAAACCCTGCCTCCTTGCAGTCTTCAGAAACAAGTCTGAAGCAAGTACCAGTCAAATTCAAATTTGCTTTGTTTCAGCAAGGTGGATGCATCATATGCCTTCAGGTGTGCCTGATTCACTCTTGGTTTCAAAAACCTTTTATCTTACCTATTGAAATGAGGCAGGAGAGGGTCCAGCACTACACATGTTATGGCCTGTCTTGCTTCTTTCCTCTGTTTCTACCTTTTGTCACATTCAACCTGATATTCTTCTGCGTAAACTGCTGCATATCTCTGTATCTTTTCTTATTCTTTTCCTTAGCTGAGTAATGGCAAAAGAGAACCATACGGACTCATCAGATTTCATTCTTATGGATTTCTCCTTCCAGTCAGAGCATCAACACCTTCTGGGCTTGCTCTTTCTATCCATGTATCTCCTGACAGTCCTGGGGAATTTACTGATTGTTCTGCTGATTTCCTCAGATGTTCGCCTTCTGCAGACCCCCATGTATTTCTTCCTCAGGCACCTTTCTTTGGCAGATGTGGGCTTTGCCTCCGTGGCCGTCCCCAAGATGCTGCAAAACCTTCTCTTCCAGGTCAGGACAATTTCCTACAGTGGTTGTTTGATGCAAATGTATTTCTACATGACTTTCGCCAACACAGACAACTATCTCTTGGCTGTGATGGCCTATGACCGTTATATGGCCATCTGCCACCCACTGCTTTATGCCGTACGAATGAGCCACAAGCGCTGCCTCTTACTTGTGGCAATCTGTTGGCTCCTGGCATCCCTCAATTCTGTGCTGTATACTTTGGTAATGTCCCCTCTCTCTTTCTGTTCCTCTAAGGAGATCCCCCAGTTCTTCTGTGAGTTCTTCCCTTTGTTACGACTGGCATGCTCAGACACAAGTGTTATAGAAACTATTTCTCTGATTGAGAGCTATGTAGATGTATTGGGTCCATTTATCCTCATTGTGATCTCCTACATCTGCATTTTCTGCACCATTCTTAGAGTCCCGTCCACAAAGGGGAAACAAAAGGCTTTTTCCACATGTGGTTCTCACTTGGGTGTGGTAGCCCTCTTCTACGGCACCCTCTGCTGGGTCTACCTGCAGCCAAACTCCAGGAGTCCAGAACAGAACATGATTTCTTCTCTCATGTACACAATGGTGACTCCCATGCTCAACCCATTCATTTACACACTTAGAAACATGGAGATAAAAGCTGCTCTGAAAAGATTTATTGGAAGGATAAAAAAGGCCAATTTACTTCAGTTCTTTCTCTGTTCCTCAAAATCTGCAGTTCTGTGAGAGAGGGAAAGGAAATCTCAGCAACATGAGTCGTGGATATGTCCCGATCTGAGTTTGTACCTGGGATATTATACTAAGAACTATAATTTCATTCATAAACATGGGCTGTCCTGTTCCAGAAATCACATAAAATGTTAAATGTTTGTTTAATGAATACCTATAGAAACAATAAGGAGAACAAAATCTAAGGGGTGATTGTTTATGAGAATTAAAGTGGATTGCTAGACAGAGAACTAGATTTGAAACGTGAAGGCATGACTTGAAACTACTGCTATTATGACAGACTGTCATCTCTGATAAATGGATCCTCATTCCTCACTTTTAGAAAATAAGCGGTTGCCATAATGGAGCATATAGAATAGAATAGAATTCTTTATTGGCCAAGTGTGATTGGACATACAAGGAATTTGTCTTGGTGCATACGGTCTCGGAGTATATAAAAGAAAAGATACATTTGTCAAGAATCATAAAGTACAACACTTAATGGTAGTCATAGGGAAACAGTCAGTATAAATCTTAAGGATACCAGCAACAAGATTACAGTCATACAGTCATAAGTGGGAGGAGATGGGTGATAGGAATGATGAGAAGATTAATAGTAATTAATATCTAATGGTTATCATATCATATCATCTTTGGTATCATCTGGGCTCAAGTTGCAGTTGGGGTGCATAGGGTCTATAAGCATGTTTGCAAGTTGAACAAGTGTGAAAAAATATTCTATCTAAACAAAGATTTTCCTTATTTCAGTATTCAAATATTTACTAGACGATTGAGGAAAATGGGATTTGTTGCAAATGCCACCTAGAACTATCCTGTTCAGAATCCCAGCCAGTTTACTCAGCCTGTTTCCATTCTCCTCCTCCTATTTTTCCATCCTCCCAACCCATCAGTTAGCAAGCTTCCTGGGGCCAATGAACATGCAACTATTCCATACGGATCACTTTTATGCTTTTCCAAACTTGGTGTTGCTCCTGGGCTGCTGATGCTTCCCTATTGCGTGAGGGTATGGTGATGCTCGCTATTTAAAGTTTTAGCAATAAAAATGAGTTTGCTATTAATAGATAAAATTTCCAGTAACTTTTCTGTGGAATGAAATTTGAAAGATCACCCCATAAAACCATTTCCTCAGAGTTACTCTACAAAACTAGTAAAAACTGGTATTGGTATTAATTTTCTAAGAATTTTACCTTTCTCTTTACAAAATAATAATAATGATGATGATAACAACATTCCTGTTCTTTTATTGGTAAAGTAAGATCATCTGTAAAACATGTCCGCTGAGCTAACTGAACAGTGTAGAACTCACCATATTTACAAATAGTAGGATAACAATGCAAACGATGGCTTTTTGAAAAATTAAAAAATATATCCAAATGATGAATAAAATGAGTCATACAAATAGATTTGATTGGTATTGTGAATGGAGATGATTACTTGAATTCCAAGATGTGAAATAGGCAGAGTCACACAGATTTCCAGTGTTATTTTTTTTTAAATGTAGTGATTATTTTTTAAAATGTATTTAATTATAGAATAATTTGGGAAGTATTCTGATGATTCTTGGAAATATCACAGTCACAAGGAAGGTCTTCTGAGAGACTCTAACTGGTCTTAATAAAATTGAGATGAAATCTGTTTAGGATAGATGAAAGACAAAACTAATCCACTCAAGGGATAATTCATTTATGAGTTTTAACATTACATGATGTGTTAATAGCAACAAGCCCCAACAAATTTTCAAATAGAGACAAATGGCATTTTAGTATGCTGATTTGGGATGGATATGCTGAAGCCATAGGAGGTCTTGAACAGGGGTGGGTTCTACTTACCTTTGCTACTGGTTTGCAACGGGAGTGCACGCGTGCGCAGAAGCTTCTGTGCATGCTCAGAGCATCCGTGATGACGTCCAGGCAGGTGGGTGGAGCCTCCTGCCGCCGTTACTACCAGTTTGCAAGATCCAGACTGAACTGGTAGCAACCCACCACTGGTCTTGAAATAAATTTGTATCATAAACCCCGACTATTTTTTTAAAAAAACATATGCACAGAAAATGTCCTTCGAATAAAACTGTTTTAAAATCTATACTATTTCAAAATACGCAAAAAGTGTACATTCAAAGAGCAATCAATAATGCATCAAAATATGCAGTAGTACTACAAAACATACCCAACCCAGCCAAATATACTAAGATTAAAATACCAGAATAATGGACCTCATCAGCCTCTCCCTCACCATCTACTTTTAGTTTGATGGACAAGTATACCAAGGAATCAGAAGAACAACCATTGGATTACCATTCTCAGGACTCACAGCAGAGACTGTAAATGTAGCATCTAGAAAGTACAGCATTTCCACACATACAACCGAAAGTCCCAATAGCCCAAGAAGAAAAAACAGGAGACATCTACAGTGTTCAGTGTAAGAACTGTAACAGCCACTATGTAGGATAGACAGACAGAAGATTAGCAGGTTGTATGAACATGAACACCAGCCAGTAGCTAGAAGACACAATGAAAACTCCTTAATCTCATAATTCATGGATTCAATCATTGTTTCAACTGGGAAACTGAGCATCCTAGATCAAGCAAAAAATGCTAGGGAGTCCCAGAAGCTTGGCATTCAGCCAAATCTGTTATTGATAAACAGGGATATAACCATGTTTGTATACCATTCAAAATGGCCTATGACCATATGCTGTGAACACCACATAGGTATCAGGAAGGGCATCCAGCCAGTAAATGCTCAGCTCTACCCAGTCGTCTTGACTCTATCCTGAATTAAGAGACTACAGGGTTGTAAAAAGAACAAAAAGTGAGATGAAAGCACAGGCAGTGGAGAGGCACATGCTGTATTGTTTCTATGTGTCCAGAGTTACAGGGGCATTGTTTCTCTGGGTCAATAATTTTCCTGTATTGGTCTTCGAGGACAGCTGAGGGGAGGCATGACAGTGTGCATGAGTAAAACCCCTCCAGTGTTTGGCTGTGCCACAGAAGAGCTAGAGTACCTGTTCACTGTCAATAAATTTGGGGTCCTGACTAGATCCAATTGGCCCTTTGTGTCCACGACATGCTGTTTAATGAGTGTTTTGATCATATTCTATGTTGAATAGAAGATCTGGAGAGAAGCCCAGGGTTGAGATATTAGTTGCCACTGTCTGTTTCCATGTGGATTGAAAAAAAAAATCACTCATAGTTAATGGGGGACGCCTAAGAGGAAAACTAGGTTAGTCTGAACCCATAGGTGAATATGGCCATCCCACTTTACCTCCCACTCTACCCTCATGAAGCTTGTCAATAGGTGCAGGGTGTCATTAGAGGCACAATTTGGGGCTGATGTTAGACATTTGGATTGTACAAATTCTAATGGTGCAAAATTGGAGAAGGGGCCCTTTGAGCATCATACAAAAGTTGTGCCTTTGGCTTGGCTTCAAATAACTTGAGTGCTGCAGGTATATAGTGGCCACCTCTTGTTTTAAGGAATTTAAGGCTGGCAGATGTGCTCCTCTGTGCATTTTCAGCCACATAGTCCCCGTGGCCTTTCCTAGCCCTGGCAGAATGAAGAACTACTCCAGTCATGTCTGTTGGCTGCCTGCTATTTGGCAGTTCAAATCTCACCAGGCTGAAGGTTGACTCAGCCTTCCATCCTTCCAAGGTGGGTCAAATGAGGACCCAAATTGTTGGAGGCAATATGATGACTCTGTAAACCGTGTAGAGAGACCTGTATAGCACTATGAAGCGGTATATAAATCTAAGTGCTATTGCTATGTGAAACAAAAGACCTGCTCAATCTCAATGACCAGTAATCCTTCTAAATTAGACTCAGTATTGGGTTTCCAGTTATGGGGGAAGCTTCCAATTTGTTTCAAAAGCAAGAGGCACTTTATGCTCACTGAGAGACGGGTGGTGTATACATTTAATAAATTAATTATTATTATTATGTATGATAATAATGCAATAACATGGATCTCTACTACTAAAGAAAAGAAACCAGAAACCATCCTTGGGTCAGTTTTCAAGATGGAATAAATTTTCCAATCACAAAACACATTTCAAAGTTAAAAAGAAGATATTGTGGAATGAAGGTGAGTCTTTATCATTTTGTTTAAGAGTTCAGGATATAGCAATAGCACTTAGACTTATATACCACTTCATAGTGCTTTACAGCCCTCTCTAAGCGGTTTACAGAGTCAGCATCTTGCCCCCAACAATCTGGGTCCTCATTGTACTGACCTTGGAAGGATGGAAGGCTGAGTCAACCTTAAGCTGGTCCGGATCAAATATATAGACAGATCACATCTGTTCCTCCCATTCATTTAGCTGTGTTACGAGGAATGATGAATCAGGCCCAATAAAGAGACTTGAGTCATTAAGTAAAATATCTCTCTTTTATTTGCAGGTTCACCTTATCGTCACTTGGGAACATTAGGATCTGAAACATAGAGGAGTGTGCCCACCTTTTATACCTGTGGGCGGGGATTCAGGTAAGGAGGGGTCTAGGGGAGGAGTTGACCAGGTGGGTGTCTGGGTTAACCCTTGCACTACTGAGCTATAGCTGATCCCTGGCATGGGCAGAGCATTTATACCTGACAAATCCCCCTCTAAATGCCTGACCCGTGTCTGTGGGCCTGTCTGACTGGTTGATACCCTGGGGTGGATGTTGAGTTTGGAGACTAAGTGTGAGTGTTGCTTGCCCTGTAGAGGTTTCGTGAGTATGTCTGCGGTCTGTTCTTCCGTATCGCAGTGTATGGCCTTTATGAAACCGATTCTGGAGAGCTGTCTAACGTGCTTGTACTTTATGTCTATGTGCCTTGACCTTTGCCCTACAGCGTCCGGACATGGATATTTCTATGGCGGCTTTGTTATCTTCGTAGATATTTATTGGGTAAAATGGTTCTCTCCACACGCTGGCGAGTAGGTCATTGAACCAGATGAGATTATTGGCGGCTTTGGAGAGGCATATATATTCAGCTTCAGTAGTCGAGGTTGCCACTAAGATTTGTTTGCCTGTGTACCAATGTACCGGAGAGTTATTTAAGTAGAATATGTACACAGACGTGCTTTTGCGGCCTTTGGCGTCCCCGGCCCAGTCAGCATCAGCGTAGCATGAGAGGATGGGCTCGTCGGATTTTTCAGGCTCTAGGGTTAAGCATGCATTGACACTTTGTTTCAGGTATCTTAGCACTCTCTTCACTGCGTCCCAGTGGTATGTGGTGGGTTTGCTTACGTGCCTGGACAGTAAATTAACGGATAGAGCAATGTCCGGTCTTGTCCAGTTAGCGATATACAGGAGGGAGCCTATGACTGACCTGTACAGCGTGTTGTCTCCAAATTCGGGTGATTCATCATGCATGTTTTTTAGGAAGTCCACCTGCATGGGTGAATCACATCCCTTGGCATCTGCCATGTTGCACTTATGAAGTAACTCTTCTATTTTCTCCTTTTGTGACAGTTGGAAACCTTTTGGTGTTTGGTTGACTTGTACCCCCAGGTACCGGTTTATCCTTCCAAGGTATTTTATGGTGAAATGCTCACTCAGCTTGCAGGCGAAGGTGTTGCAGTTGGCTTCGTGTTTGCTGATGTATAGAATGTCATCCACGTAAACTAGGATGTATTCTGGTGAGTCCCCCTCTTTTCTGCTGAAGAAACAGTTGTCAGCTATGGTCGCCGTGAATCCCATAGACTTCAGGGCCTCCACCAGGCATTCGTACCAGCGCTTGCCTGATTGTTTTAGCCCGTACAGGCTCTTATGAAGTAACCAAGTGTCCCCTCTGTTGGTTTCTTTGCTGTGGGGGGCTCTGATGTATATTTCTTTGTCTAGCTTGGCGTGCAAGTAGGCGGTCTGCACGTCGAACTGGTGCACCTCCAGCCCTAGCAGGGATGCGATGACCAAGGCGCTTTTGACACTCTCCGTCCTCACGGTGGGTGAGTAGGTGTCTGTGTAGTCCTCCGGGAACCTTTGAGCAAACCCCTGGGCAACTAATCTTGCTTTGTATAGGCTTTGGCCACCCTCTAAATTCTTGATCTTGAAGATCCATCGGGTGCCTATCGTGTTCTTACCCTCTGGGACCTTGGTGGGGGTGTATACTTCTAGCTTCCTCAGGCTGTCCAGTTCTTTGGCCATGGCTAACTCCCACTTTGCCCTCTCTTCTTGGGGTAGTCTCAGTACTTCTTCGTAGGAGTTGGGTGTAACATGATTCGTGTGCACGTGCATCACGTAATCATTTAACCTCCTTGGCAGTTGGTTTCTGGTTGACCTGACTGGTCTGGTGACTGTCTGCTCAGTGTCATGCAGGTATCTGGCCTCTCTCTGTGTCAGTGAGTCGACACTTATCTTGGGGTGGTTCTCTTTCCATCCCTTAACCTTGATGCCTTGGAGGTTGGGCTTGGGCCTGCTCCCTTCCTGTCTATCTATTATCTCGTTCTTGTTTTGGGCCTGCTCGATTGGACTGTCCTCTCGTTCGGTGGGTACCTCATTTAAGTGTATTCTGGACCAGTTGGCTTGTTCGTGGAAAGCCGCTGTTCTAGATACCACGAACCTATTATTGCTGTCCACAAACCTGAAGCCCTTGGTTCCTGGCTCGTATCCCATAAACCTCAGTCTTCTGGATACCTTGTCCCCTTTCTTGCGTAACTGCTTGGGTATGTGTACATCAGCGGTCACACCGAACACGTGTAAGTGTGCTATCTGAGGCTTCTTACTATACATGAGCTCGTATGGCGTCTTGTCTATCACACTGGACCATGTTCTGTTGAGTGTGTAATTGGAGTAGACCAGGGCTTCAGACCAGAAGTGTTGGCCAATGCCTGCGTCCTCCAAGGCGCATCTGACCATTGTTTGGAGCGTGGAGTTCCGTCGTTCTGCGACCCCGTTTTGAAAGGCGGAAAACAGGGATGACATAAAGTGAATCACGCCTTTGGACCTGAGCCAATGGGAGAAGTCCTTAGATAGAAACTCAGATCCTCTGTCGGTCATGATTTGTTTGATTCTGGCGTTGTTTTGGGTTTCTACTCTTTTATAGAACTCTTTGAATTTTTGGAAGGCCTCATCCTTTTCCTTAAGGTATAGACGAAGCCATATCGACTATAGTCGTCCACTATGGTGAGAAAGTATCTTTTTTTGTAATTTATGGATGGCCTTAGGGGTCCTACCAGGTCCATGTGGACTAAGTCAAATATTTGTTTGGCGGCACGTAGCGACTTCTTGGGTCTGGGTTTTATCTTTAACTTTGAACATTTGCACACCGAGCACTCGAGGTAGTTTTCACAGTTTTTTATTTTGATGCCCTCAGTACAATTGGCCATTTTCTGGATCACGGGAAAACTGGCATGCCCTAACTTCCGGTGTAGCAGATGAGCACAGTCGTCATGCATGGGTTTGCCTATCGAGGGCCTCCCTTGAGTGTGTCTGCTGTGTTGTGTTTCTTGTGTCGTGTTACCATCGTTATCTATCTCTCTCCCTTCTGCCTGTTCCCCCTCAGTCTTGTCTTGTTCATTGTCCTCTGTGTTCTCTGAACTGGTGTACACGCTGTGGGTGTTATTCTCACAGAAACTTATGTAAGGTAACCCCTTGGTTGATGATTACTCTTCCTATATCTTCTCCACCTTTGCTAACTCTAACATTACCTCTTGTGAAATTCACCTCAACTCCTGATTCTTTGCTAAGCTTTACTGCGGCTAGTATGTTGTGGGGTATCTCTGGGACTAGCAGTACCCCCTCTATTTTCCCTACTCCTGGCAAAGTAACTGTCCCTTTTCCGGTCACCCTAACCTGATTTTGGTCTGCAACTTTGATAGAGAAATCCTCCCTCTTGAATGATGAGAGTAGTTTCTGGTTGCATGTGGTGTGGTTGGAGGCTCCCGAGTCCAGGAGCCACGAGCTGGCATCTTTGTCTTGGTGCGTGATGTGTGTGTGCTCCCCTATCCCGTATAGAGATCCTGTTCTGCTGTCGCGTGAACTGTCTCTGTTCCCCCTCTTATCCCTGGGAATGGGTGAGTCCCTACGCCTATACCTTTCTTCAGATGCGTGCCTTTCCATGTGTCTGTATTTGTGCTCTGGCCTGCCTCTCTCCCTATAGTTCCTGGGGCAGTCCCTTTTAATGTGTCCCCTAGACCCACAGGTGTAGCATTCTGGTGCGCTGTGCTGTTTCTCTTGGAAGACTACCTCTCGGCTTGTCGTTCGTTCAGAACTGCGAGCTCCGGTAGGACTCGACACTACCCTTTTTTCACTCTTATGTTCTCTGGGAGGGCCGGGGCGGCTCCTCCTCAGATTATCTTCTGCGATAAGCTTGTTGGATAGCTTCTCCATGGATAGCATTCCTAGACTAATGGTGTCTAAGTGTGTCAGGAAGTTATTCCATGAGTGATCTAAAGAGTTGACTATCACACTCTTCATGATCTGGTCGGAAATAACTTCTCCCCTGAGGTGTAGCTCTGCTCTGGTACCGCTTAAGGACACTAGGTGCTCACTCATGGGGGTCCCTGGCTTAAGTCTGGCGGAAAAGAAGTCTTTGGAAATTTGTGTGGTGGTGGACACATTCTCACTGTAAAACAACCCAAACATTTTCCCTATAATTTCTGATACTGTGAGGTTATGGCCAATACAGTGGTAAATTGTGGGGGATATGCTGGCAATTAAAAGATAGAATGCCTTATGGTGCATGCAATCCAGCTCTAAAGTCCATGGTCTCTCTGGTGGGTCATTAATAAAATGAGACATGTTTTCTTTCAGGAACACCACCTGGAGCTGCTGTGACCACTCTAGGATATTGCCCCCATCCATTCTCAACTTGGGAAAGTCTACTGGTAAGTTTCCAGCACTATTTGCAAAGTTACTTACTGCTGGCTGCTGTCCATGGTTCCTTATGTGCCTATAGCAGCAGTAAGGCATGGGAACGCTTGCCGGTAGTTTAAAAGTCCCGCTTTGTAATTTTTTTCTCTTTTCTTCTTCTAGGCGGAAGAGCGCATGCGCGAAGTCCATTTCAGCTCCGCCGTCGCCGAGGAAGGACCTGTTCATCGCGGCTCCGCTGTAGAGGCCTCTATCGGTCGGGTAGGCCTCGGCTTCGGACTTGGGGGTCCAGTTGTGCTCCGGAGAGCGTCGTCCAGCTGCTGCTTCTCCGGAATGAAGATCCTGGCAGCGTTGAGGCTCCGGCGATGGCTGTAAGTAGCTGCCCCAGTCCACGCGGTCCGGGGTGTGCGGCCTGGGCGATCGGAGGCGCGGTGTCCCTGGGGTGCGTAGGTGGGCTGGCGAATTGTCCCGGGCGTCGGTGGCTCTCGGGTGGGTGCTCCGTTGCCCCTCTCCTCGTCTTCCCTTTTGTTTTGGCCTCTCCGGCTTCTCTTTAGTGATTTTGAGGCCTGGGCCGAAAGCGGCGGCAAGGGTCTTCATGGCCCTATCCACTTGCCGTTCGCTGGGGGTGTACCAGGGGTCGGAGTTGGATTCGGTCCCCTCTCCCCGGTCACTTTCATCATTGTTTATGGTCCGGCATTTTTCGCGCGCTGGCCATTTCGAATTCTGTTTGGTGATTGGTTGGGGGTCGGCCATCTTGTCCGACCACGTGGACAAAAATGGCCACCGTTTCAAATTTAGAGCGGGGCTTTGGGGCTCGGTGGCCATTGGGGGTGCCCTTTTGGGCGATCCACTCACCGAGTCCAGCTCCTCGAGTTCTGAGTCCGAGCCTTCTTCGCTCCTTGCTGCCTCGCAATCGAGTATGAAGCTCCGCAGGTCGGCAAGGAGGTTTCTGTCGCCGGCTCTCTCCTTCAATAGCTGCAGGACGTCGAGTCGCAGCTTCTCTTCTTCTTGATCGTAGTGGTGGGCCCTTTTGCCTTTTTCGATCTCCCCCCTTTCTTCCGTCGCGGTGGCTTTGGGGGTGGTTGAGGTCCCTGCCTTCCCTGGCGAGTCTGATGGGTTGCTTTCCCGTTGCTTCGGGGGTGTCGCCATTCTGCAGGTAGGTATGGGTCCTTGTCTGGTGGCTTGGGATCTCTGGGCCTTACCAACCATCCTCTGCTACCATTTTGTTACGAGGAATGATGAATCAGGCCCAATAAAGAGACTTGAGTCATTAAGTAAAATATCTCTCTTTTATTTGCAGGTTCACCTTATCGTCACTTGGGAACATTAGGATCTGAAACATAGAGGAGTGTGCCCACCTTTTATACCTGTGGGCGGGGATTCAGGTAAGGAGGGGTCTAGGGGAGGAGTTGACCAGGTGGGTGTCTGGGTTAACCCTTGCACTACGAGCTATAGCTGATCCCTGGCATGGGCAGAGCATTTATACCTGACAAGCTGTGAGCCCTAGCTACTTCATGCTACATTGCTCTGATGGAGAGGATAAGCGCCTTCACCAACAATTAGAATTGCAGATTAAGTGTTAACTGTAACCAGCAATATGAGAACAACTCTCAGTTATGATCCAAATTATTTAGTGTACAATATCACCTTTTTCTTTCTTTCTAAAATTAACAGAAACAAAAGGTTAAGTTTTTATTTGTGCAGAAAAAAGTAATTTCATTAGAGGGGAAAACTCTCAAGGCTGAGAGAAGTACCTCCTGAAATCAAATTTGCTTCTTAATTCACAGAAGCAATCTCAAATGGTTGTGATACCAGACTGAGATGAGCCAGTGCACTAATTAAGAGTCTATAATATTATAGGTAAAGTTATTAGACTGGAAAGAATTGAAAGGAAATTCCTGCATAACTAAGAAAACTCAGAATTTAGCCTTGAAAGTCCAGGTCTCAGTGGATCAGTGGTGGGTTGCCCCCGGTTCGGACCAGTTCGCAAGAACCGGTAATAAAACCAATGGGAGGCCCCGCCCACCTCTCCGGATGTCATCATCAGCGATCTGCGCATGCGCAGAAGCAAGGCACGCACATGAGCGAAGCAAGCGCATGCGCGCGATCCCTTGCAAACCGGTGGTAAAGGTAAGTAGAACCCACCCGTGCAGTGGATGATGGGTAACTGACAGATATAGATCTTGCTGCAAAAATCATATTGGGGGTAATGGATATAATTTGTGTACTCCAAATGATAAAAGTCTTTACCATCAGATTTGAATTTGGATGGATATATATAGAGATATATAGACATGATAAATCCAATATCTCTTGATTAGAAGCTAATCATGTTTACTATTGTACAGGTTGTGGTCCTCAACTTACAAACAGTTTATTTAGTGACTTTTCAAAGTTACAACAACACTGAAAAAAGTGACTTTTCACACTTAAGACCGTTGTAGCATCCCCACAGTCACATGATCAAAATTTGGATGCTTGATAATTGACTCATATTTATGACAGTTGCAGTGTCCCGGGCTCATGTGATCAGGTTTTACAACCTTCTGACAAGCAAAGTCAGTGGGGAAGCCAGATTCACTTAACAATTGTCTTACTAACTTAACAACTACAGTGATTCACTTAACAACTATAGCAAGAAAGGTTGTAAAATGGGGCAAAACTCACTCAACAAATGTCTTGCTTAGCAACTGAGATTTTGGGCTCAATTGTGGCCATAAATCGAGGACTACCGTGTTTTCCCCAAAATAAAACCGGGTCTTATATTAATTTTTGTTCCAAAAGATGCATTATGGCTTATTTTCTGGTTAGGTCTTATTTTGGGGAAAATACAGTACTAAACACCTCTGTTTGCTGACGATCTTAACTAGGGCTTATTTTGGGGGTAGGGCTTATATTACAAGCATCCTGAAAAATCATGCTAGGGCTTATTTTCCAGTTGAGTCTTATTTTCAGGGAAACGGGGTACCTATATTTATTTATTGCACAAACATATTTTAAAAACATCTTCTTGTTTACTGAATTTCATCTTGACACGACCAAACTGAAAAATTCTAGCAGGGAATAATTAAACTTGTTCAGGCATCTTCTCCTCTGTTCTTGCGACTGACAAAATGTATAACATCAGCTCAATCCCATTTTCACCTCTGCTTCCTTCCTTTTTACAGCTGTGAAATGGCCAACCAGAACCAATCAGACAACTCAGAAATAAGCCTTTTGATGATTTCCAGTAGACCTGAATATCAGACTTTTCTCTTCCTGGTTTTCCTGTCTATCTACCTGTGGACCCTACTGGGGAATTTTCTCATCGTCTTGCTCATCCTTTTGGAGAACCATTTAAGCCAAAACCTCAGAGCTTAGAGGGAGAAGAAGCTAACCTAGGCAGTGGGAGAAAAGATTGTAAGATGACTTGCAGGGCAAGCAAAAGCATCACTGCTGATGAAAGACAGAACTACATCAAATCCTTGGAAGAGGCCAAGAAAAAGCTGCTGAAGAAGTAAGAACTAAGAAGATGGGAAAGTGTCAGTGTTTCCATTTGAAATTAGCCATAGGAGTCTCCTGCCCAAAGCCCTTCCTCACTTGCTCTTAATTGTGGCACTAAGATGGCAACATTTTTTTTTGTGCTTATTATATTACCTTCATTTACATCCCTAAGCCCAGGTATAGATTTAACTCATATTTGGCTATACTGGTGTTGAAATAAGAGTTTTTTTCTCTTGCTCAAACACTATCTGATGACAACTTTGAAGAGTATAACTTTTCTCAGGCTTTGTCACCCGTTACCTTGGAGGAAGTCAGAATTTCTTTAAAATTGAGCAGCTAATACATTTAAATAAATAAATACAAATAAATACAACATAGTAACTGGGTAAAACACAACCACGATAGGATGATTGGTAGCAGGAACAACCGGTTTCTAGGCAGTATTATTTTCTGCTTACAGATAGTCTTTGACTTAGAACCAGAATTGGGACTAGAATTTCCACTCATAATTTGAGTCAGACCCAATTTTAGGACAATTTTTATGGTAGTGGTTAAGCAAGTCACCCTGGACGTCAAACTGATCACATAGTTGTTAAGTGAACTCAGCTTCCCCAATGGACATAGTTTTACTGGAAATCAGCAAAAAATGGTCGCAAATTGCAATCATGCGACTGCAGGACACTGCAGCTGGTCATAAATGCAGGACAGTTGCCGAACACCTAAACTGTGATCACGGTGACTGAGAGCGTGGAGCGACAGTCATAAGTCCATGTGCAGGTCGTAAAATCACTTTTTACAAGGCTGTTGTATCTTTGAACAGCCATTAAATGAAAAGGTTGTAAATCAGGAACTAGCTGTACTGAAAAATAAACAGAGAGCTCTTCAACACGGCCATAAAGAAAGAAGCAGGGTCTCAAGCGTTAGAAAGCAGTGGATTTTCTAAAACAAGACACGGCCATTTTAAAAATAGAAAATATAAAGCTCTGATGAGCTATTGAATGTCTTACTTATCCCTGAAAGTTCACTTCTGCTCATCCCCAGAACTTCAGGTGGAGGAAAGTGGAGGAAATAGAACTGGTATCAGAGGAAGTGATTGTCTGGGTAGCGTTGGAGGGATTGCTACAATTACATCTACAAATTTGCCATTTCTTTTTTGTCGTTTAACTTTTTGATTGAGTTGTAAGATAAAATAAGATACTAAATACAAAAGTAAATAGGAGAATGGTGGGAAGGAAGAGGGTGAAGAGAAGTGAGGAAGGGTAGGGAAAAAAAAGAAAAAGAAACATTGACCTCTGGGTTTCTCTGTTGCAGTAAAATAAGGCATTAACATCAAATCACAACTTTTTGTTTTTTTCATAATAATATAAACAAGCTATTTCTATAAGAATCTATCTAATCGGTAGGGGGACGCGGTGGCTCAGTGGCTAAGATGCTGAGCTTGTCGATCGAAAGGTTGGCAGTTCAGCAGTTCGAATCCCTAGTGCTGCATAACAGAGTGCACTCCCATTACTTGTCCCAGCTTCTGCCAACCTAGCAGTTCGAAAGCACGTAAAAAATACAAGTAGAAAAATAGGGACCACCTTTGGTGGGAAGGTAACAGTGTTCTGTGCGAATTTGGCATTTAGTTATGCCGGCCACATGACCACGGAGACGTCTTCGGACAGCGCTGCCTCTTCGGCTTTGAAACGGAGATGAGCACTGCCCCCTAGAGTCGGGAACGTCTAGCACATATGTGCA